CGAGTCGGACTAGCCCTACCCCTCCCGACACTAGGCGGCGGTAGGAAGACGGTACTCGTATCGACGCCCTACTAAGTACGGAACGGGTCGATCTAGTCGATCTCGTAGATAATGAAGGAGATGCCGACCCGACTTAGACCGGGCTCTAGCCTATATCTACACTAGCTCCGCTAGGGCCTGATCCTAGCGACGCGGACGACGCTAATTTATCCGACGCGGCCGCCGCCTTCGACCTAACCGCAGTCGATAAGTAAACCGTATAAGACTTAAGAAACATCAACCGGCGTAAAGGAAGCCGGAAGGGATAAGGGACGGCTAAGGGTAAACTCGATGAGACTAACCTCCCGGATCGGTAGATCCTCTTTTAAGAACTTATTAAGAAGCCTACTAGTAATATACCTAGTATAAACGTCATGATCGAGCGTCAGAATCTACAGTAAAACTCCCTCTACCTCGCCAGCTACCTCGGCCTAGGGAACGTCCGCGCCCTCGGGCGATTATATAACGCCCTAGTTCTAACATTAACCTATTTTACCGACCTCCGAAAGAAGAATTTTAGCATTCCGTCTTAGAAGGGCGCTCTATACGTTCAAGACGTTAGTATCCTAAAGCTAGTTAAGGAAGATCTAGTACTACGTCACATCACCTAACTCACTACGATCCGCCCGACCTAAACCCTCGATGAGTAGGACCTATGTCTAGATGAGTGTCGGGGTATATAGCGTTCGCGCCACTAGATCCCAGTCATATATCTAGTATAGGTCTATAACCTAATCAAGCGAATGCCCCGGCTATTTAAGGATAGTCACGACCCTAACTATACTACCCGTAAATAGGCTAACTTTACGACTATAGAAGATACTAACCGCGCCCTATTATTATTACGGACTAGTACTGACTACGTGTCCGGTAAAGGTACTAAGACCTTTCCCTTTCGCACTACCGTGGCGCTACCGTACCTCAATCAGGACGAACGTCGCTAACTAGGTCTTAAAGAAGGCTAATCCGTATATAACCCCAACCCCTTAGTCGATGATAGCGCTACCGTAGCCGCCTTTAACGCCGACCTCGGTCCCTCGGACGAGTTTCTTGACTCGCTAGAATTAGACGCCATCGAGAGACTTCGCTAGGATAAAAACATGAAAGAGTACATCGCCGCGGGGGCGGATACGGTCGACTTATTCGTAAACGCCTTCCGGATCTACGAATCTATAGTATATATAGCCCCCCCTCTCCTCGGGTAGATAGGGATACTTTTATTTAGTCGCCTATTCGACTGTCCGGCTAGATAAAAGTATCCCTATCCTCTCCTAACCTCTATAAGCTTAACTCGGCTAACTATAGATATAGAATACTACGGTAGACCCGCGACCCCAGCTTACGCCTACCTAATAACGCGTTTTTTTCCACCGGATAGTGCGGCGTATTAAGGTCGTCTACGATAAGTTTTACGGCGGCGAGGACCCGGTCATATAGGCCACTACGACTTCATACGCCGAGCGCGGTATATAAGAAGAAAGCGCGAAGAAGGTAGATACGACTAAGCCTCCCTCGGTGCGATCGGCGGAACTTAATCGCTTACTAAGCCGACTAGCGTACGCGTCCATCCCGCTCTTGAGCTACGAGGAGGCCTATAAATACCTCGGGTTTACGGCCGACTTTAACGATCTAGTAGACCTCCGCTTTATCGATAAAGACCCCCCTTATAAGAATCGCATAAAGAGGAACGGGGTGGAATCGAGCGTAGTCCTACTACTATAGTAGATTCTCGGCATCGCCACCTAACTAATCTACGAAAAAATCTTCGGCGGCGGTCTCGACGCGCTCGACTACGGCATGGGGAAGACCATCAAGGTAATCGCCACCATCTATTTCCGCGCGTTAGAGATCGAGAGAGCCTAAGCCGCAGGCCAAGAAGTCGACATACGCCCGACCCTCGTCTTAACCTCCGGTCCTATCTAGATCGAATAGTTAAAGGAACTACGGACCCGATTTACCGGCATCGTACGCTTCTACATCTTCTACGGGACTGATAAAGCTACTATATCCTCGGAGACCCGGGCCGCTCTCCTCTCCAGCGACTCCGTAGAAGCCCGCGAGGTTATCGACAAGATGGACTAGTAGGACGTGGTCTTATCCGTCTACGAAACTTTCTAGTCGCGTACCCTCGTCACTTTACCTAGCGATAAGGCGTCCTTAGGTAAGTATCGCCCCCCCCCCTCCGCCGCTTCCTAGATAGATAGGGATACTTCTAGCCTATAGGACGGCGCACTAGTAGAGTCATCTGGATAAAAGTGTCCCTATCTCTATCCTGACCCCCCTCACCCCCTTACGATAACCCCTTGGAGTCTAAACTACTAACCCGTATATACAGTAGAAGATAAAGACCTTAAAATCCGCCTAGCTACTACCAAACCTCCGACCGCGGACGCCCACCTCCGCGAAGACGATTTAGTAGTTCGGCGCACCAATACTTCGGTTATTCACGCCGCCGATAACGATAACGAGGGGTTTAAGGAGGAGCGTACCGATAAGAGTATAACCTACGGATCGGTCCTGAAGTACTGTTTTCGCGTCGTTATTCTAGACGAAGGCTATAAGGTTAAGAACTATTCATCTCGCAACTACATCGCCGTCTAGCTGCTGTACGCGCCCATCGTCTAGGTCCAGTCAGCGACACCGGCCATTAATCGACCCGCCGACCTGACGGGATACCTTAACCTTCTCTATATAGACCGCTATACCTCGGACCTTATAGCCCTAGACGGCTAGGACGACCTAGGCGAAAATTTAACGGAACGCTACAGCCTAGAACTCTAGGAACGCATCCAGAAATACTACCCTAACTACGTCGCCAAGTATAAGGCGCCCCTATACGTCTTAGACCCCGTCCCGTTCTTTAGCTTATATAATAAAGGCTATATAGAAGGCATCACCGCCCTCAAGGTCCTCCGGCCCCTCCTAGACCGCATTCAGTTAAGAATCACTATAGCGAGCGAGGTGGACATTAGGGGTAGCCGCACTCTAGTCCCGGCTAAGTTTATCCCCGAGTACAAGATCACCACCGTCGAACTGGACTTCAGTACTTAGGAAGCCGAATAGTACAGTACGATGTAGAACCGTCTAAAGGACTTTCTCTACCGCGGCGGCGCTTCCCGCGGCGCTACCCGTAGTAACCTTAAGAGCCTCGCCGTAACCTCCGGCCTCCGCGACATACGGATCTACCGCGCTATTTCTCTAGCCACGTTCGACATCCGCTACGCGGCATGGGTAGAGGTGGAAGTAGCCCTCCATCTCCGCAGTACCAGCACCGGGAGCCAGCAAAAATCCCAGCGTAAGGACTACTAAGCTATAGGACTGACTACTAACTACGGGTTTAGTGAATACTTTAAGGCGACCCGGCCTAACCCGACCTTACCGGTCTACTAAGATCGTCTAGGATAGGCCGAGTACTAACTCGGTTAGTCGCCTAAGCTCCGATATAGCTGCGGCATTTTAGACGATTATCTCTACGGTAGCGAGGAAGACCGGGGTAAGCTCATCCTATTTATCCAGTGGCCTAAGGAATAGTATGGCGCGGCTGAATTCCTCCACACTATCAATGTCCCCTTTCTAGTCTTATAGCCCGACCTAGAGCTCGAAGACCGTAACCGGATCCTACGTAACTTTAGTAACGATAACTACCCTAGCCGCGTTCTTATCTATTCGCTACGGGCCTCCGCCTACGGGCTAAACCTACAAAACTACGCCCGCATGCTCATCATGTCGTACCCTAAAAATATACAACAGATGGTATAGATAGTAGGACGCGTCTACCGACTAGGACAGCGGCGCGTCTAGAAGGTCTAGGTATTAACCATCAACCATTCGTACGACAACTATCTACAGGCTAACGCGGCCCGTAAGTTCCTAGCCTAGCTAGCCGGCGAGGCGGATATAAGTACTACCGAGCTCACCGAAGAGTAAAAGGAGTAACTATTTAGCTTCGACTACTTGAACGACGATGAATACGACTTATACTACGAGCGCCGCCAGGATAGTACCATTATCGAGCTAGCGGACGTATACATCCAGGCCATCCTAGGCTAGAGTTATTCCCGAGTTTCATAGCGTAAGGAGAACCTAAGTATACCTTAAAAGGACATTCCCATAACTACGCCCTAAGGCGATACTTCCTAGGACGACACTCTATAGGGTAGTACGCCCAGCCGTCCAGCCGGCAGAACCGTAGGTACGTAGACCAGCCCGTCCCGCCGAGTCCCGGGAGACTTTAGTCTAGCTAGCCTAGGCGCCATCGGATAAAAGTCTCCCTAGACTTAGCCCGATGATTATAGCCTAATACTAATACCGTTCCTAGTCTTATCGATCCCCAAATCTACTCCGGGCTAGACGCTAACGTAGACGTAGCTCGTATAAAGTAACCCTTATACCTAGGACTAATTAAAGGTAGAAGGTTTAGGTAAGTATTCGTACCCAGCGAGACCTTACCCTTTACTAACGCCATCATAGTAATAGAGTGAAATCGGGCAGTACTTAAATATAAATAGGTCTCTAAATCCGACATTTAACGTCACTAGAGTACTTAGATCAAGCTCTACCTAGATGCCGCCATAAATGACGGGGGCGTTTTTATCTACAATACGTACGATGGGATCTTAAGGGATAAGCGAGATAAGCCCATTTACGCGAGCCGCTTCTTTTTCATCGATGGTGACTATCATTTAGTCGACTATTATAATAACCGCTATCTATATAAATACTACGATAACCGGTTTACTATCCTACCGGTCGATGGAGACTCGGTTCGTTCCCAGCTTATAGAGCTTCTACCCGAGGACGACCTCGCGCCTAATGATAACTTTATCTAGCCTAATAATATCCGATATAGGATTAGTAGGGTCGCTAGACCTCCTCCTCGATTTAGCCTAACCTTATCTACGGACTAGACCTAATAGCCTACAGACTCGACTAGTATACCGGAATCCCCTTAGTCTGACCGAATGTCGGAAGACAACGATAATCCGTTTCTAGATTCTAAGGTCGCACCGACCTCGGTCGAGCCCGAGACTGATAACTCTAAGTCTAGCAGCTCCGAGTCTGATAGCTCCGAGTCTAGTACTGAAGATCTAGACGCCTCTAAATACGGGTCCAGTAATGAAGACCCAGACGCCTCTGAACGTAAGGCTAGTGATGACGAAGACCCAGACGCCTCTAATTATCGGTCCGGTACTGAAGACCTAGACGCCTCTAAAAGTGAGGCTAGTAACCCTGACCGGCCGTCCAAGCGCCCTCGCCTTAGTACACCATCGAATCGGTCATCTATCTCCCAGAACGACGAGCCTCTACCGTCCGGCTAAGGGGACGTCCCTATGTTAGACGCACCGTCAGGCGAGACTGCCGATGTAGTCGATAAGGACGATAAGATGACTGATATCTAAACTACACCTAATATACTAAAGAGGACTAGTTTAGGGTTCTTTCACCGTTTGCGAGGGAAGGGTTAGGGACGGATTTACACTATACGGACGGCTAGATCGAGGCCAGCTAATGAACTTTAATACGGCTATATAGATTACTTAAGAGACTCGGATGATACACTATATATAAGGATTAGCCCTTAGGCCTAAGATTATAGATATATATAGATAAAAGATGCTCGAGCCGGAGAGATTAATACATTAGAGATGTCTAGACTAGATAGATCGACAACTAGAAGATGAGACTTGAGCTAGACAGCTTTACAACTAGGAGATACTTAGGCTAGATTAATCTATAACTAGGAGATACTTAGGCTAGATCGATCTATAACTAGGAGATGAGACTTAAGCTAGATACATCCGCAACTAGGAGATGCCCGGGCTGGATAAATATACAGATAGAGAGGTACTTAAGCTGGATATATACATTAGGTGATATTTTCTATAGAGGTCGGAGACAGATAGTCGAGCTCCTAATACCTAGGTAGATAGAAAATGCGTAAGCTAGCCCACTAGAGACTTCTTCTAGGAATCCATAGAACATGATGAATATAAACGGGTAATGGATACAGTAGGTATACACTCCAGACGTCTACGGGTACCCCCTAAGTCTATAGGGATCTACAGGGATCTACTATAGCGTACGATATCCTACATACGACACTTCCTGAAGCGCATATAGAAGATAGATTTATAGTCTACGACCCCCTAGTATATATACGGACACTTTTATCTCGCCGGTACTGATACGTACCTCTATATCTACATAAAAGTATCCCTATATACGCTAGAGGGCAGCGATAGGGATGATTTCAGCGTCATATACTACATTCTAACGTATATGAAGGTAGGGCCCTATAAACGCCTAGAATTAAATATCTTCACGCGGCCTTAATTAGTCCGGTTGGTCCGCTACACTAGGTAGTCAATTTAAACTTCGACTCTAGCCATTCCTAGATAGGATCACCTCTATACCTTAATGTCCCTAACTCTAACGGTGAATAGTATGATAATCTCCGCTACGGACCCTCTAGCTAAAGATAGCGGAGGTATAGGTAATAACTAGACGATGTATTTAGGAGTTCAAGACTAGTTAGAGGCTCGTCTATAATCGAGATAGTGATAATATTATCTGGTTATCCCTTCTAGGGGGTTAGACCTAGCGTAGTAGTGTCCTCTCCCAGGTTAGTACTCGCCTATCCTACCACTACCACCCCGTTAGCCTAGCTAGGTGTTACTAACTCGTATCACTATCTCGCCTTAGCGCGTAGTTAGGTATTTTACCTAGCCTCTATACCTCCTCAATCTCTCCTTCCTTATTACTACTCTTATTCTACGACTAGGAATCCACTAAGTTAATAGCGAGCCTAAAGTATCCCTATTACTACCCCTCGCTACTACTAGGAGGTAGCCTTAGACATTTATACCCACCCTAATTCTACTCTACTTCCCTCCCAGGCCTCTTATTAGCCCTGTCGGCGACTATAGTACGGATCTAGACCCTACCTCGCTCCTTAAGTCCTAACCATCATAGGAGCCTACGTAAGACAGCACTATAGACCTAGGGGTGAAGGAGGTAAGAGTGATATCTCCTCTAGTCCTACGCTATAGCTAATATACTTACTAGGAGGAGAGGATAAAGCAGTTTAGTTATATAGTGAGAATACCTACCGATACGCTACTATCAAGTATCCTAACTTTCGTAGGAATAGCTAGAAGGCGGATCCCCTATTACCGTAAGTGAATTCACTAACGAGGTACTCTCCACTCCTAACGCTATTATAGTCCGCATCCGAGCCGCGGAAATGATAGTATTTTCGTAAAGACTGCTATAGTAAGAGTATCGTCTAGATCGCCGTCTACTAGGTCCGATCGTTCTATAGTACCGAAACACCGAGTACGACTCCCCTAGGACTAGGCTAGACTCCGCTAAAAATGCTACTAACTTTCATCGCGATAGTCCGATGTCTACGTTATCAGGACGTATTCTTCACCACGTATAATATCATAGGGATTCTAACTGATCACGAGAGAGTACATACCCAGTACGCGATAAAATCTTTCGCACTTAGTCTACTAAAGCACTATATCATGTACAAAGCGAGACTATAGGACTATAAAGAGGGATGTTCACGATGCGCTATCAGTACGATAGAAAAGATGTATAAAGCCGAGTTTAAGGCGTTCTAGCTAGCTGGAGGGATAGTTACACTATAGGGTCTATAGGACGCCATTCGTGCATAGGGTCCTTAAGTCCTAAGACTACTCTAGGGTACAGTAGTAGTAATCCCTATAAGGGACAGGTTAGTAGCACTAGCGTAGTATAGCTCAGACACGCTCCTAATGACAATTCCAGCCTTGACTTTTCTAGGCCTCTACTACATTCTTTTTTACGGTAAATAGTACGTATAATACGTCGAGACCTCGATAACTATTATATATCCAATGACACTTTTATCTAGCGGACTAGACCGCCTCGTAACCTATAGACTAAAGTATCTCTATCTTTATCTATAGACCTTCTCGTAGTCGGTTTCACCCTAGTTTCTAATGAATTCCTTTCTATATAGACTTACGTAGCCCTATAATAGAAGCTTTACTTTATTTTATCTATCTCCTACCTAGTTGCCCTAATATCCTTTTATATATAGGTATAATAGTTCTATACCTATATATATTTTATAGTAGTAATACTTCGATATTACTCTCTATATAGAAAGTAGAATGCGAGACTAATACTCTAGTCTTAATATCCTTCTATATATAAATAAGGTACTATTAGGTTATAACTATCGTCCACTTCTCTAGTTAGAGGTTCAGTTAACTTAATTTAACGTTAATAATATAAATTAATGTAGAACCTTTATCATTTTATTAATTACTTCTATATAGTTACCTTCGTAATATTATTATTTACTTTAAAATATATTTTAAATAAGTTAGGAGTTAATAAAGGGATTAATCTATAGAAGTAGATAAGAGAGAGAGAGTCTATAAGGTTAGGAAGTATTTTTTTTTTTTAGAGTTAGGTTAATATTTCATTATCTATTATATAGTTATATTATTTTAGTAACTTTATATAGAGAGTACTATTAATATTATTAAGTTTAAGTAAGAAAATTTAATCTCTCGATTATATCTTTAAGTATTAAGAAGAGTTCTTTAGAGCCTTTATCGATAATTTATCGTTATACTCTACTATAAAGAGCGATTTTATATTATTTTCTAAGTCATCTTTAGTTTCGAACTTTAATTTATTTAACCTTTTTAAAACTATATTTATTTTATTTACTTCGAGTTATAATTAAAGATATATAGTGATGTTTCATTTCTTTCCTTCTATATTAAAGTCTAGAAATATCTTAATTATTTTAGAGATTTTATAACTTTTAAGAGCTAAGAGTTTAAGACTTTTATAATTTTATATTTTCATTAAAGATAATAACTACTTCTATCTCGATTAATATCTCTAATTCCGGATATTATCTTTATTTTACCTCCGATTTAAGAGATTTTTATTTAAGAGATATTTTCTTAGATAAATAGATATTTAGCCTTTAAGTTTTTATTTTCTCTTCTTTCATTTTTTTTCTTTCTCTTAAATATTTTCTCTTCTCTATATTAATATTTCGTTCCTCTTATTCTTTATTACGTTCTATCTTTTTATCTTTCTTAGAGTTTAAGTTATCTTCCCGCCTTCTTCTCTTTATATATACTCTATCCTATAAGATATAATTCTCTTAATCGTTTATAAATCGATATTAAAAGTAAAATATTTTATAATTATTACGATATTATCATCTCTCTCTTATTTTATTATCGCTCTTTTAAGACGTAGACTCTTCTTCGACTCTCTCTTATTATTTTAAAGAGAAAGTTTAGTCATTTTCTCGTTAATTCGTTTTTAGACGCGAGAGATCCTCTTATAACGGGAGTTATCTCGTAAAGAGGATATAAATGAAGTCTAATCTTATTCCTTTACTTAATAATCCCTCTTAAAAGATCGTCCTTATTTTTATATAATTACTACTATTAAGGAGAGTCGTAAATCTTCACTAGAGATATTAACTTATTAAGTTTTTAGGGTTCCTCTAATAACTCTAATATTATATTAAGCGTTCTCGTTAAATTCATTTTAAATGTTAGAAAGAAATCTTCTTTAATACCTTAATTATATTATTTATTCTATTAATTCTTCCTTACGATTATCTAAGAAAAGGAGATTAAATATTTAATTTAAGATATTATAAATTTCTTCGTTAAAGTCTTTAATTCTTTATTCTCTTAATATATTTTCGTAATTTTTCATAAATATCTAAATATCTATCTTATTCTTAATATTTTAAAAGTAATTCTTCTAAGTAAAGATATTATTTTAAAGAGATATTAAGATATATTTACGAAATATTATCCTATCTATAATATAAGAAGTTTATTATAATATTCTTTATACTCTTTTCGTTTATATTTTAATATAAATATCTTAGGGTTATTATATTAATTTTCGGTTAAATAATGTAGTTATT